ACATATATATATATTAGTTGGTGCCGTTTGGTATTTTTGTCGTTGTTGTCCCTAGCTAGATTTTGTTTGTTGGGTATTTGGATTGCGTGTATATTGTCCCTTGCAAGCAACCCCGCCGTCTCCACTGAGCCAGCCGGTTGCTTGGAATTTTTCTTGTCATCTCCCTTTTGTGCGTGCATTTGTTTATTTCGTTTGGCCCCCTTGTGTTGTTGTTGCGCACGGTAAGTGCATTTATTTGGGACATTAGGTAGGTCGGCTTTTGTAAACAAAAGGTAAGGTGACAAATTGGCGCCCAACGTGGGGCCCTTTTCACTGAAGGAGTGGAACAATTTTTTGGCGAGATAGACTGTGGTGATAAGCATAGCAAGGAGGTGGGATTTTCGTCAAAGGTTGGTGAGATTACACGAAATTCAGGTGAGAGAATTGTGGAAGATATATTGCAGTGACAAGTGCAGTGCCGGAAGGGTATACCCATACCCACACATCTACGTACATATTTTGTGAAGTGTGTAGCTTGGTTGTTGCCTCTCTATTTTGTTTAGTAGCGTTCAAATATAGTGTACATTAGGCTGGGTCGCATTTTGTATTTGTGGCATTAAGTTTGGTTTGGTATTTTGAATATTAATCTTTGTTTTAATATTGGAAAAAAAGCGCTTCAAATTAATATTCTGTGTGGTGGCGAGCCGTTTGCTTCGATTTTAGCCTTTTGTTCACATTGGATAAAAAAGTACGCTATATGTTGCATTTTAATAAAAATTAAATTAAGAAATACCTGAAGTTAAAAGAAAGACCACCCTAGTGGTAAACATATTTACATACATACGTACATTGGCCGCACCACTTTGTTTTGCGTGGGATCTATTGTATACATATATACATATACCTACATAGTACATACGTATATTTATTTTTACATATTGGTTGTTGTTTTTACATTTGCTTGTGCCGTTTTATTTAGCAGTACGTATTATTTTTGTTTTGTTTTTTTTTGTGTGGTTAGGCTCTACTAATGTCGCGCGTGATAGGGTCATTTTGTTGTGCCAGTATAGGACGACTAACAACCCAGTGGGCGCGAACTGGTCGGTAGTAAGCGATAACTGGTTTTTATACATAAAACGATTTTAAAAGTTTTGTTTTCGCGAGTTTTGATTTTCGGTCGTGTTTTTAAACTATTAAGTCGTCGTAATTTTTTTGGTTTTCTTTATTTTTTGGAAAATTTTGATTTTATTTTAAATATTTTGGGGTTTTCGTTACATTTTGATTCTTTCTTGATTCATACGACATGGAGATTAATCGGTTGTCGCAAGAGGAGTTGTCGTATGAGATGGAGGCTCGGGGTCTCCCGGTAGGGTCGGTCGACAATATGCGGAAATCTTTGCGGGCGTCAAGGTTGTTAGAGAGGAGAGGGTCGGTAGACCTCTTCCAGGACTACCCCTTCAGTTTCGAGGAGGATCGGGACGCGGTAGAGCAAAAGTTGAAGGAGGTCGAGTCGTTGATGAGCAAGTTGGCGAAGGGCGCGAAGCCGTCGACTGGGGCCAAAGCCATGGCTAAGCTAGAGTGGTGCTTAGCAAGGATAGGGCGCGCGAAACCCAGCAACGATGCGGAGTTGACGCAGCAGTCGAGTTTGAAGAGCAGGTTGATGCTTTGCTTGGCTGGCTTGCAGGAGGCAGTTGGCGAGGAGGACGAGCCGGAGCGGATGAGTGACCGAGAACGAGATTCGGCGGTACGATCGGCAGCGGCACCAGGCGAGGTGGCCGAAGAGCGGGCGTGCGGGTCGGCTGAACCGGTCGGGAGCGTGAAGCCGGAGAATCTTTCAAAGTGGGACGTGCGTTTCGATGGGGAGAAGTCGGGTCTTTCGGTGAACGCTTTTCTGGAAAGGGTAGAGGAGTTGAGTGAAGCCCGCGGTGTGGCCCCTGCTCAACTTTTCCGAGGCGCGGTTGATTTATTTTCGGGGAAGGCACTTCTATGGTTTAGGTCAGTTAGGCGCTCGCTAAGTAGTTGGGAGGAACTGGTTAGGGAGTTGAAGTTGGAGTTTCTGCCCTCCAATTACGATGACTTGCTGATGGACGGGATACGGCGGCGGACTCAGGGAGCGAATGAGTCCATCGGAGTCGGCTACAGGAGCCCCTGTCGGAGAGTAGGATGCTAGGGATAATTAGGGCAAATCTACTACCCTTTTACCAAACGCAGCTGGGACTAGTTTCGCCAGGATCGGTTGCGGAACTAGTCGCCTTGAGTAGAAAATTAGAGTCGGTTAGGTCGTCGGTTGAAGCTTTTGTCCCTCCACCAAGTCACAAGGCCAAGGGTCTGTTGGAGCCTGACTTGGCTTATGCCTCGGTGGGCTCGGAGGTCGCAGCGGTGGCAGATTCAACGGACTACGAAGGGTTTAGGGCGGGGCCTAATACCCGTTGTTTTAATTGCAAGCGGTTTGGTCATGTTTCAGCTGACTGTAGAAAGGGGATAAAGTGCTTCGGCGGTGGTAGGCCTGGGGCCATGAAGCGGGACTGCCCGGTGTGTGCAGCGAAGCGGAATGGTGCCCAGGGTACCCAGCGTAGTCCGAGTGGAGGTGGTCGGCGGAACCACAACCCGTTTAGGTCGGAGTCGAAGTCGAATAGTTGGGCGAATTCGAAGTCGAATGTTAGGTCGGAAAATAAGTCGGGAAACGGGAGGTAGACCCCTGGGACAGCAGGTCAGGTGGTCTTGTAGGGCGAGTTAGTAATCCTGCTAACTCCCAGCTGGCTAAAGTAGGGTTCGGTGGTTCAGATATTCGGTTGGCGTATTCGCTTGTCTCAGACGGCTTCGATAAGCGTCCGTATTTGGATGTGAGGATTTTTGGTTACACTTTTAGGGCGTTGTTGGATTCTGGTGCGTCGAGAACGGTAATTGGCCGGTTAGGTTGGGAAGTTTTCTCATCTTGGGGCGTTAGGGGGTCTTCATCGAATATTCCCTTGAAAGTTATCCTTGCGGATGGAGGCCATGTATCGGTGTTAGGTTCGGTTTCGCTGCCAATTGAGGTAGAGGGCAAGTCAGTCCTCGTTGAGTGCCTCATAGTTCCTGGCTTGCCTCAGGGCGTTATCCTTGGGGTCGATTTTTGGACCAAGGCGGGTATTATCCCGGATTTGATGAAAATGAGGTAGAGCTTTTCTCGGCCGGAACAGGACTGTTTGGCGGCGATAGTCGATCACTCCGAGGTAGGCAATAGAGAGGCTAGTGCTTTAGATGAATTAGTTGCCCGGGCGTTCAGGGCTATGCCAGAAGGGTTAGGTCGAACCCACCTTGTTGAGCATCGGATTAGGGTAAAAGCAGGAGTCGAACTTGTGACGCAGAGGTATTACCCGGTGTCTCCCGTCATACAGTCGCGTATAGACGAGGAGTTAAAAGACATGCTCGATAAGGGAGTAATTGAAAAGTCGCATAGTCCTTGGGTGTCCCCCGTAGTCATGATTAGGAAGAAAGATGGGTCTTGTAGGTTTTGTGTAGACTATAGGGTTTTAAATAAATGTAAAGAGAGAGATAGCTACCCCCTTCCTTATGTTTCGGCGACTTTGGATAAGCTGAGGGACGCCAGGTTCCTGTCCAGTCTGGACATTAAGTCCGCGTATTGGCAAATCGAGACCCTTTACCGCTTTTACGGTACCAGGAAGAGGTCTCTTCCAATTTAATCGTATGCCATACGGGTTGCATAACGCACCCGCAACTTGGCAAAGATTCATAGATTCAGTTATAGGTCCCGAATTAGAGCCCCATGTCTTTGTTTACCTTGATGACATCATTATCGTTACAAATAACTTCAATAAACATCTAGAGATTCTGCAGATAGTTTTAGATAGGTTAACTAAAGCGGGCCTTAGGTTGAATAGGGATAAGTCCAACTTTTGTAGGCCAGAGTTAAAGTATTTAGGCTACGTGGTAGACAAGCACGGTCTACACGTATACCCAGAAAAGGTTGAAGCGATGGTTAACATCGAAAGGCCCAAAAATGTGAAACAGGTTAGGTCATTTATAGGTACAGTGTCCTGGTACCGAAGATTTATTAAGGACTTTGCTGAGTTAGTTAGGCCTCTCACCGAATTAACAAAGAAAAACCGAAAGTTCGAGTGGAACGAAGATTGTGAACGGAGCTTTAGGGAGGCGAAGGAGCGCCTGGTGACAGCACCCGTTTTGAGCTGTCCAGATTTTGAGAAGCCTTTCACAATCCAGACAGACGCGTCTGATTTCGGTATAGGAGCAGTTTTGACCCAAAGATTTGAGGACGGTGAGAGGGTTATAGCATATTTGAGTAGGTCCCTGAATAAAAATGAGAAAAATTATTCGACGACAGAGAAGGATTGTTTAGCGGTCTTGTGGGCGGTCGAGAAATTGCGTCCATATGTTGAAGGCGCTAGGTTTACTGTCGTCACTGACCACTATTCTTTGGTTTGGCTGAACAACTTGAAGGATCCTTGTGGTAGGTTAGCGCGTTGGGCGCTGAAGCTCCAGCAGTATGACTTTGAGATTGTCCACCGGAAGAGAAAGGAACATGTGGTTCCAGATATGTTGTCCCGTAGTGTGCCTGTTGCTGAAGTTTCCACTAGTGACCCCTGGTTGTCGAAGATGATTCGGTCTGTAGAAAAGAGACCCTTATCGTACCCAGCGTGGAGAGTAGAAGGCGGCTGCCTCTACAAATTCGTTAAGTCCAAATTCCCCTCTATTTACGGTGATTCTTTGGATTGGAAAAAGGTTGTTGGTCGAGAGGAGAGGGCTGAGATTCTCAGTAAAAGTCATGATGACCAGTTGGCCGGTCACATGGGCATCCGGAAAACTTTCGCTAGGGTTGCACAAAATTTTTATTGGCCGCAGATGAAGGCGGATATCGCGAAATATGTTCGAAAATGTAAGATTTGTCAACAGGTGA